TTGCTTGCTTCATGGGAGGCAACCCATGTTCTTTTCCTTTTAGTTTGTTTTTGTGTGATTTTACTTTTTTTTTGTTTAATGTGTGTGCTTTCATGTGCAGAAGAAGTATCAATGCCATCCCAATTCAATTGGTAATCCAAAAATACAGCAGATTCTGATATCAGTCACTCTGGAGAGTGAGATTACTCACTCTCTCGAGTGTGCCCGCAACAAACTGAGTTGCTATGGCTGATTTGCCTTCGATTTCTTTTAGGCTGCATAGGACCTGTACTTTATTTTAACTTTGGGGGAATCGATGTATGCTCTGTTCATGTATAATTGTTGTTAGTTTATTTTGTTTTTAAAACAAAGGAATTTTGGAAAACTGAAGCTGTTGACTTTGAAATTTTGTGTGTTTTTTGCTGAAAGTTCTAAGACACTCAAGAAAGTGACTCATGTCACTCGGCAAAGTGACTCTGAACCTACTTGATGTCTAAAGTCAATTTATTTCTTTTACCCACCCATATATTTTGTTTCATCTTTTTGTTTTGTTTCTTTTTTAGGTTCTTGAGACATCTTTTGTATGTCATATCCCTTAGTAGCTTGTTAATTCTGAAATTTGGTGTGCTTTATGTGTACTTGCTAGGCTTTAGTCTGGGGTAAACTTCTAATATCTTTATGAGCATTGATGCCATATCTAGCAAGTTTAGAGAGAATTTTCAGAATTTAGCATGTCCGATTGCATATGAGTCACCTAGTTCTTTCTGAGCATTATTGTTGAAAAGCTAAATTGATTTATGAAACTATGGTGTTTCTGGTTTGTTGCTTTCTATGGTCTCTGTGCTTAACTGTATGAACCAAGGAACTTGATGAGCTTAATTTTTGATATCTTTAGTCTGTGTTTCAATTCTAATCCTTGGTATTTGAGAAAACTAGATTTGCAGCTAAAGAAGGACTGTAGAGCCACACCCACGAGTGACCAAAGTCATTCCAACGAGTGACACTGCAGAAAAATAAAAATTCTTAACCCTTATAGCTGTTGAATCTTTTTTGTGTTCTGATGTTGCAATTCCAGGCTGTTGTACAAGGATGTCGCGATCCCTTGTATGGAGTATATTTCGACACAACATAGAGCTTGCAACAAATCGGATAGATATGTTGAATGATGTGCATCATGAAGCCCTCCTCATCCATTTCAATTGCTCCAACTCAAGGAAGTCATCAGTCCTCTACCTCACTCACAGGAATGAGAATATCACTCCTGCGAGTGACCACACAGTTTTTGTTGTGAATTGTTTTTGTTTCTGTGAACTGTTTTTATTGTTATTTTTGTTTTTGCATGATCTGTTTGTCAGCATTGGAGACAATGCTTTGAATAAGTTTAGGGGAGTAGTAGGGAGCATGTTTATAAGTTCTTTTTTATTTTTTTTATTTTTTGTGAATGCTAGTTCTATGATAATTGGATATCTATGAAGACCAATGTACTTAATTTCTTATATCTAATTCAAATTTTGATTTTACCTAACTCTTGGTATTCATCTCTACACTACTTAAGCACACATGCCTTTTATGTTTAGTTACATTGAAGTTGAATTTTATAGCATGCTCTGTGGTGTTCTAAATTGGTTAAAATATTTAAATGACTTTTCTTACTACCACTTGAATGCGAAGTGTGGTTTGTTTACATGCTAAAGAGTTGACTAAGGCAAGCTTAATGACCCTCTCTAATACCTTCTTTGGGAATTGGTAGGCGGAATGCTCAAAAATGAGTAAATAAAAAGTTCAAAAGAACTTGAGAGAGCATAAGGAAGAGCATCAATGCTAAATCTCTTAGAGTGAAATGGCAACAATGAGTGATCCTTTGGCCTGGAAAGAAAAGTCTCCTATCGAAAGCTCTCGGTAGGAGGGGTCGGAAGTTGGAAAGAAAAAGAATCATGAGTCATAAATAGAAAAAGCCAAAAGACTCGGAGGTAAATAAAAGTGAATGAGGGAGAATAGTTGAAAAGTAATGAATTGTGAGAGTCCTTATATCTCTGAGGCTGTATTGGCCACATTAGCATGATTGTGGTAAGATAGAATGAGTCATAAGGCTAAGAAATCTCTAAATATGCACCATGAGCTGTTATTTACCATATACTAATTTGTTACTTTGCATACTTGGCATGATTCACACACACCCGGAGGTGATTTCGTAAAGACTAGGTGAAATTCGAATTTGGATGAAGATATACTTGTTTTTCTTGCGTCTGAGATGTTGTATCCAATTGTCATATGAACTAGTTATGTTTGATAGTTGCTGTGAAGTTCTTGTGTGCTTGTTGCAGTGTCACTTACCTGAGTGACATTTTCACTCAGGGGAGTCAGTGGTTAGCTATTGTTTTCTTCTTTCTATGTGTAGTTCTTAAGGGGTTAGATTGTTTTGCTTGAGGACAAGCAATTCTTCCTGTTTGGGGGAGTTGATAACGGTCAAATTGTTACATAAAAGCATTGCAATTTTACTCTTTAATTAGTTAGAAATTAGGGGTGTTTCTTAGACTTTGTTCATTTTACTTAGCTAGTTTTGTGTTTCTAAATAGGTGAGGACCGGAGTGAACAAATGCTGAAAATGGGGGCTTATGGAGAAATAATTGGGCTGCTGATTCCAATTTAAAATGAGGGCTGAATTGGTATAAAAGCAACTCCAAGACACAAGATACATTGGGAGTTAATAAGTGTGTCTCATCCAAGGGCATGCTTGTCCCCTTGGTTAGACTCCCAACCACCCATGATGATCAATGTTACAGCTGATACCAGTGCTGGAGAAGGGCAAGAGACCAGTCAATTCTCGGATTCAAAACACAAAGTATTAGGAGGAATAAATAATTCACAAGCATGGGGAAGCTATCTTGGAAGAAGAACCGGCTTCAAAGCTCTATAAAAGGAGCTGCATTCCCAGCATGAACACATATCTGAGTGGACATACAACACACAAAATACAACAAGAGAGAAGAAGAGAGCAGAGAGGGGAGAAAGCTCCAAATGAAGAAGAAGTCCAGTAGCAGAAAAAGAGGAGTAACAGACCTCACTTGCCTGAGTGACTTTTGTAGTAACAGACCTCACTCAGGCGAGTGACCTGTTGCTCAGCCATCCAGATTTGCTTCTTCTTAATGCTTTACTTCTTTTCTTGTATTTTCTGTAGTTTGTATGTATAGTTAATTAGATTTTATTCTCTGGAACCTATGTAGTTTAAGTTTGTGAATGCATTCGGATGATTTTGTGTTTTGAAGTTAAAGCTTTCGTCTACCTCTTGATTAAATTGGCCATTGGATTGATTGTGCACAGAACTAAGTGAATATCGGAAGGGTAAACAAGGTTCAGAATCATTTAGCTTCAACTTATGACTTGGAGGTAACAGTCCAAGGTTCTAATTGAGATAGGAATATACTTGGTTAGTATAAGCATTCATATAAGGCTTGAAAACTTCATGACTTTATGACTTGATTAATCATTGGAAAATAGTTTAATTGAGTTGATAAAGATACCTCTAGGAAAAATCGGAAGTGACTTAGAGATATATAAGTGCCTGAATGAGCATGAATTCATACCGAAAGAGTGCAAGATTACAACCTGATTACATAGGGAAAAGAGAATGAATATCTAGCTTGTTGAGTAAGTCCCTTGAGTCGGAATTCTCACTCTCGTGAGTGAGGTTCCATTTGTCTTTCTTTGTCTTTAGTTCTGCAGAGTCACTTGCCTGAGTGACTTTACCCACTCGTGCAAGTGAGTGACACTCTGCAACTTTCTTTCTTGTTTGTCCAATTTCGTGTTCCGGTTATTTGAAGTTTAACCCGTCCCTGTGGGATCGACCTGACTTAACATATCTATAGTTTAAGTTGGTAAATTATTTTGGGGGCTTTGACAACCCACCAGCAACCATCCCTCGAGCACCATACTACTACTCAAAGTGTTCGAGAAGATGTATCTCGACTTTTATCTACTCAACTACTACCTTCTCGGAATCGAGGTAACACTTTCTCGAATAATCAATTTATTACAAGATCGAGGTACTTCTAAAATCTTTTCATACTTTAATATCTGATATCATTTTCATATTAATATCATATCACGATATCTTTTTGAGCATGATCAAAGGAATCTTTCGAGGAACCAACCCTATAGGGAAAATTCCCCATCACCTTGCAATGAGGAAAATCACCTCGAGGTTGCTTTTAATGAGGAAAATGTACTCGGGGCACAAACTGAAATAAACCGTAGGGGTAAGGAACTTGAGAGATCATCCTAACATCCTCTGCTTGAACGGATATTCCTTAGGAGCATCTTATTAATACATGTCATTATTGCATCTCAATGATCTACACACTCACGGTCCACCGCGCAAACAAGGATACTCGCGGTCTACTGTGGAAAAAAGGGTACTCGCGGTCCACCGCACAAACAAGGATACTCACGGTCCACTGCGCAAATAAGGAACTCTCTAACACAAAGACCTCCTCGAGGCATTCTATCTCCCTTTATCTTATATAAGTGACATTCAAGAACGAAAGCGTTTGAGAACTGGGGCAACACCATGAAGCTCGAGAATACATCAACACCCGTAGCAACCCATATTTTTCTCGGCGAACCTCGAGAATATGACTTGCTAGGGGCACTTGACGAGTCCAAACTGAACCCTAGGCCTATTGGGCCTAGGATTAGGTCGCTTAGAGATTAAGCCATCACATAAACCTATTCCACTAGGGTTTCAGGAACCAGGTAACACCACCTCTATATAAAGAGTAGGTGCCTCTCCCATAATTGAGATCTTCTACCTATCTTCTACACCTTATATACACGATACACACACCTCTCTCTCTATTACTTCTATTCCTTTATTGACTTAAGCATCGAAGAGTCTACCCCCGAAAGACACCTGAGGCTCTGTCTTGCAGGTTTTAGGCCGTCCGCCGCCACCTATATGATCGTTGCCGCCTGTCCTAAAGCACCGTGCAAATCCATGTTTCGTCAACCTTCATAAAAACAGCCTAGCCACAAGGTATGGCATCAAACATGCTACCGGCAACATGAGTAACTCCGGCGTGCTCTGGTGCTGTTTCAATCACATGGGACAAATCAAAATTGATCCCTTTAATATGTGGATATTTCTTGACAATCTTAGCAATCGCATGGCCAGTTCTACCACCAACGTACACAATGGAATCTAAACCCTCCCATGCCTCTTCTTTAATGCCGTTAACGATTCTGTCCATGACAATGTTTCCGATGTGCACCATTCCATCATGGAGAAGCTTCTTGGATTCCGGTTGTTTTCTGGCCAAATCGTAGATTTCACATCCATGATGAGCCTTCAGAAATGCAAGCCACCTTCCCTTATGCAAGCAGTTAATTGATGCCAGGAAGCATGTAACATTGACTGTTCACCAATAACACCACTGGCGAAAGACTCAGGCCGTTTTCATCCTTTATGAGCCAACGTGAGGCCGGCGTTAAGCCGTAGAGCTTGCCGCTGGAGAAAGAATCTTTTTCATTTTCCGGGTTAATCGGAATTGTAGTAGAAGTGAATATTTTGTTATGGACTAATAGATCCATGACTCTTGAGAGATACAAGATGTTTGGTGATGATGAATTCGTGAAGTTAGAGGCGATTTCGGGTAGTGATAACGAGCGATTGTGAGAGTTTTGAATGTTGGGTATGCCAAGCTCCACAACACATTTCAGTGCCACTGAATTTGCAAAGCTATACATCTGTTTCCATATCTCTGCTTGACCTAGAAGAAGCTCTCTTCTTTCATCTATACTCTCCATCGATATTTTGGAAAATGGTTATATGTATTCCCAATATAGAAAACGTCATTCATTATATTTCGACATGATTCATCAAATAGTAGTAGGGTTAAGGTGTTAAGTAATTTTTTTAAAACAAAGTTGATAATGCTTGTCCACTTTTTACAGAATGTGTTGCACTTAATCATCGAAAGAAATAATAACTTTAGAAAGCTATGTTGCAATCAGAAAAAGCTACACTAATTGCGGACAACATTTTGGTATCCTACGTATGCAAAAGTGTCTCCTTTATTCACGGGCAAATAAAAAAAATACTCGTAGCTTTTTATACGGTGACTTTCTCAATAATTCAACTTAGCTAGGTATACCAACTTAGGTTTGCAAATAATTTATTTCATTTACAAATAACGATGATAAATCAGAAAAGATGGAGGCTTTTAAGTTTTTCGGTACAATAAAGAAAGTGTTAGTTGTTTTTGCACACTTCACCCGCTCTAAACGGCTCATTCGCGGACAAAGGAATTTTGCTATGAAAATTTTTGGGTATGAGAAGATTTGTGGATTAAATACTTCATATCTTAATTAGTGGTTTATAAATATGATGGTACTTTTCTCTTACCTACCAAGCGTACTTTACTTGACATGTGAAGTTTTTGCTTTCGAAGCTAAAATTTCTCGAGTCATATCATCTTCTCAATATGGGCCTGATTCCGCTCAAATAAGGGCCAAACCGGATTTGACCACATAAGTGGTACTTGACCAAAAGACCAAAACCCAATTTGTTTTGGTTTTGGTTTTGACGTGACTTATACAAGCCTTGGTGCTTTGGTTTTTTGATGGGTGTGTTTCCAGCCGAGAGTGGAAAATTAGGGCAGCCGTCCACTTCTTTGTACGAGAGAAAAGAGAAGAGAAAGCTAGTTATGGGATTTTTGCGTTGCGAGAAGAAAATGTTTCTCTTTGAAACTTTAATCTGGTGACGAAACCAAGTCAGTTGTTGGTGCAAGTTTGCACGTGTGTTCCTCTTAACAAAATCTACAATTTGTCCGATTTAGTTTTCTGTTTAGTTCTTTTTTGGTGAGATTGTTCCAATCCTACTTTGTGGTTTAGGTGTATTTTGGAAGAGTGTGGTTGTAATCCACCTTTGAGTGAAGTCTTGTGTTTCCTCCGGTTGTGAAGACTGTTTTCCATTATTGTTATAACGGAGATTTGACTATTGTTACAGTCCCATAGTTTTTTCCAATTTGGATTTTCCACGTAAATCTATGTGTCTACTTTACTTTATCAGTTTCTTGAATCGTTTCCTTGTTTGGTTGTCCTATTTTATTGGTAGTAGGAAATGAGTTTTTCTTGTGATTTGTTTCTATTAGTGTATTGTGTTTATGCCCTTTCTGCTACAACAGTGGCATCAGAGCTATGGTTCGGTAGTTGACAAGTTACACCAATAAAATTGAAGAGTCATCGGGGACTGGTACGATGATTAAATTGACTTCATCCAATTATCATATGCGGAAACCTAGAATGGAAAACTTGTTGTATTGCAAATATTTGTTTGATCCTGTTCTAGGGGATGAAGGTAGGGTAAGTGATAAGACTAATAAAAAGTGGGCTGATCAAAGTATGTTTCATCATTTGTCGGGAGAAACGAAAGCCTATGAACTTGGGGAGAAGATCCAGAATATGTACTGGAAGAAATCTAGCATCAATAAGTCATCTGCGCTGAAACAAATTACCAGGTAGAGGTACAAAGATGGTGCTAGTATGAATGAGCACTTGAGTTCCTTTCAGAGTTTGTTGAACCAAACAGTGAATGCAGGTTAAAGTTTGATGATGAGGTACATGATTTGTTCTTGTTTAATTCTCTTCAGACAGTTGGGACACTTTGGTAGTGTCAATCAGTAATTTTACCTAGGATGGTGTCTTGACCTTGGATCAGGTCAAAGAGTCTTTGATGAATGAAGAAGTCAGGAGAAAAGAGACAGTATTGAGTCTGAGTCGCTGGGTCTGGTGACAGAAAAGTCAGACAGAAGATGGAGAAGTAAAAGCATAGGGCCACGTGATCAGAATGACAAGTCCAGGTGACGATCTAGGTCCAAGCGAGATATTGCGTGCTATCATTATCAAGAGAAAGGGCACTTTAAGAAGGAGTACAGGGTTCTCAAGAGAGAACAAGCAGCGAGAAAAGGTAAATGCAAGAAAGAAGAATTAAGTGATGATGACACTACAGCAGTAGTAACTACCAGTGATGTATTTATGTACTGTGATGATGATAATTAATGTTGCGAGTCATGACAGTGATTGGTTTGGTGATTCGGGAACGTCTTATCATTTGACACCTCACAGGAATTTCTTTACCTCTTACACACCTAGAGAGTTTGGTCGTGTAAGAATGGGCGACCAAGCCTCATGCGATGTTGTTGGCATTGGAGACGTATCATTGGTAACGAATACAGGTTGTACTCTTGTCTTGAAGAATGTTTGACATTTTCTGGATATGCATCTAAACCTTATTTCCGTTGGCAAACTTGATGGTGAGGGTTATCATAGCACTGAAGGTGGTGGGCGTTGAACAATTACCAGAGGAATCTTGTTATTGCTAGAGAAAAGAAGTTGAACTCTTTGTATGTATTGAATGCAAAGTTGAAGAATAGAGAGGTGAATGCAACTTACAATGCCTCCATTGATCTCTGGCACAGAAGGCTTGGACACATAAATGTCAAGGGGCTGCAGATTCTTGGTAAGAAGCAACATAGGGTTTCCTAGAACCTTGTGTTAACTGTATCTATGGCAAATAACATAGGGTTTCCTTGCAAAATTCTCCTCCATCTAGAAAGTCCAGTCCTCTAGAGTTAGTTCATACAGATGTATGTTACATGAAACATAGGTCGTTGGGTGGTGCATTGTACTTTATTACTTTCATTGATGACTATGCTCGAAAGGTTTGGTGTTTTTCTTTGAAATCCAAAGATCATGTATTAGATGTGTTCAAAGACTTTCACTTTAGAGTTCAAAGAGAGATTGGCAAGGAGTTGAAGTATGTTCGAGCAGATAATGTGGTAAGTATAGGGGTCTATTTGAGAAGTATTGCCGAGACCATGGCATTAAACTTCAAAAGAGTGTTCCAAAGACTCCGCAGCAGAATGGTGTGGCAGAAAGAATGAACAGAACTATTACTGAAAAGGTTAGGTGTATACTCTTGAGTGCAAAGCTGCCTAAATCTTTTTGGGGTGAAGCCATGCAGAGAACGGTTGATTTGATCAACCTATCTCCCTCAGTTTTGTTGGATGGTGATCTACCACAGTGAGTTTGGATAGGGAAAGATGTCTCATTTAGACATTTGCGAGTTTTTGGTTGTCATGCCTTTGTTTATATTCTCAAAGACGAAAGGTCGAACCTTGATGGCTAATCCAAGCAATGTGTATTCTTGGGGTATGGCAATGATAATTTTGGGTACAGACTTTGGGATCCTGTAGAGAAGAAAGTTTTCAGAAGCAGAGATGTGATCTTCTTTGAAGACCATACCATTAATGATATAGGAAAAGGCGAGATGCCAAAATATTCACCTGAGATTCCTGATGATCTAGATTCGGTTCCTCCACAATCAGATGATTCTCCTAAAGGGGGAGCTGAGACAGAGCAGGATTGAGTTTGATGATGATCCTGCTACTGAGACAGAGACACCACCGGTTATTGATTGGGTTTGATGATGATCCTGCTACTGAGACAGAGGTCGCTATATTCTGGATGACCTTTAAGCATCTTTCGGTTACTGATTTTTCATCTATCTTGGCTTTTATTTCTTTGGCAGATTTGTTCGGCTTCTTGGGATTGTCAGATTAATATATGGGATTGTTCAGGTTCTCAAGATGATGGAAGTGCTCAACATGGACTCTTGAAGATGGTGGATAGTTTCTCTTTGAGTTGAAGTGATCATATTTTAGTTCATTTTTTCTCTTTGAGTTCGAGTGCTCATATTTTGCTTAGTGCATTTAGTCCTATTTTTTAGTTTACAAATATGTATTTGATAAACACTTCAAATTTATGAGAATCATTTTAACTTTGAGATCTTTTCACTTATAACCGAAGATTCAATGATGCTATTATGTTCAATAGAGATTTTTATTGCATTGATGGTTTTTCTAAAATATTTCTAGAGAATAATTTTAATAGGTGTAGAATGAAACAAAAGAGAAATTAATTTTCTCTTGGGACACTTTAATATGTTCGAACCTGCATCAGTCTCAGGACGAATATAAGTATCCCAACATACCTATAAAAGGGCGTTTATTATGGTCCTATTAAAAATAATGTATTGTGTCCTTTAAAAGTGTCCTAAAATAGAATTTGACTGGTCAACTTGGCAATTATTTATGGGGACGCTTTTGTTTATTGGGACACATTTTTGTGTCCACAAGCCTTTTAGGACGGCCTACTACATGATGCTTTTCTATTCATCCCAAAAGCACAAGTGTCCCAAAAAGTGGTCTAAAAGGACGCTTAGTGGCGTCCGAAAAGCTCATTTTTTTTGTAGTGTTCCAATCCTACTTTGTGGATAAGGTGTATTTTGGAAGAGTATGGTTGTATTCTACCTTTGAGTAAAGTCGTGTGTATCTACCGGTTGGTGAACACTATTTTTCAGTATTATTATAGTAGAGATTTGACTGTTGTTAAAGCCTTGTGGTTTTTCCGATTTTGGTTTTCCACGTAAATTCGTGTGTCTATTTTACTTTACCAGTTTCTTGAATTGTTTCCTTATTTAGTTGGGTTGGTCGGTTGTCATATTTTATTGGTAGTAGGAAAGAAGTTTTTCTTGGGTTCGTTTCCACCAGTATATTATGTTTATGCCCTTTACACCACAACAATGTGTATGCTTGTCGAAAACAAGTATACATATCTTCCGAAGAGATGGCTACTAATAAAGTAGTACTATGAGACTTAAAATATTAAGAATAAATTTTTTTAAAAAGAAAAATTGGGAAGAATATGTATCCTTGATTTAGGCGATGATGATTTGTCAGGAAGCA